TGTTCAAAAATTATAAATTGTGTCTCAAATGATTCTAGGGGGGTACAGCTTTACTGAAGGGGGAGTCATGTCCCCCCTGTCCCCCCCGGGATTTCCGCCCCTGATCCATATATCCTCTTTCAAAAGGGACACATGCACACATGATATTCACTTGATATGAATTATACACCATTTATTTCTCTAAAGTTTATGAAGAGCATTCTGCTATAGACAATTTGTAAGCTAATTTGGTGCTTAATAGCACACTCAGATCTGAATGAACATGGCTGAAGAACATTATTGTCAATTTTTGTCACATTGACACAACTAATAAAAATCATTTTTCCCTACATGAAGGTCTAAATACTGTTTTATAGTCCTCCATACCAACTGAAATCAAGAAATACAGAATCCTATCTTTACTGATTAATTTTGTTGGCCTACATATAGCTTCACTGGGCAAGAATTTTATCTAAATATACACCTTTTTATCATTCTATTACATGAGATGGGATTCACACAAAGTAGAGTTGGCCTCGCAAAGCGAGCCACATAACACAAGCCCAGAGACTTCAGTTTGGAGAAACATCCAAAAATCTGTTTAGCCCGGCAGGTGAAGGCCAGATAAATCAGTGTGGGGAGCTGCGTAGATGATGACATGATGTTACAACAACAGCTAAGCTATGTAACTTTCTTGAACCTAACCAATGTAACTTTACGTTAAGTATGTAACGTGATCACGCCTAACTGTGATTTTTTTCGTAGCGCTAACCTTTCTAACAGTCAGTTAAGAAGATAATGTGACAAGGCCTAACCATGATTCTTTTCCAGAAGCTGACCTATATAACTTTAGTTTCCTCAACCTAACCTCCATATCTTTAGGTTAAGTAGGTAACGTGACAATGCTTACCTATGGTTCTTTTCCTTAATTTCATGCTAAGTACATAAAGTGACACTGCCTAACCATGATTCTTTTCCTAAAGCTTACCTAAGTAACTTTAGTTTCCTAAACATAACCTAACTTTATTGTTAAGTAGGCGATGTGACACTGCGTAACTAAGATTCTTTTCCTCAAGCTAACCCTCATAACTTTGTGATAAGTCACCACATGTCCCTAAAAACTCTAAATCTCAGGAGGAATGTACAGGACATGACCTCAGTGTCCTCAATATTAGTGATGACCCTGAAAAATCAGGAGACTATAGCAATCTCCTTCTTCCCTGGAATTATATCTACATGAGTCAATTCAACACCAGATGATTTATGAGTAGTACCAATGCAAGAAGTAGTGTTTCCTTTTGGTAGTGAGGAGAAAAGTATGGGTCTGGAGGTTGGGGTGATGGATTGATGTGTGGCACATGGAAGTATTAACTCAAACCAAAATTTTACCTACCCCTAACCATTCCTTAACCATAGCGCATTTCCAATAAACACAGTCTTTTCCTAACCTTAACCATACTGTAGTTGCAATGTGCAGCTGCTGTAGAAAATCAAAATATGTTAGCACTGAACGTAATAGCAATGCTACTGTCTGGCATTACAGTGTGTGTGTGTGTGTGTGTGTGTGTGTGTGTGTGAGGGAGGGAGCGAGGGAGAGGAAAAGAGATTTTTCTATGCGTTTACCATCTATCTGTCATCTTATATCTTTATATACATTCCTGCCTCTGTTTCACCCATTGTATGGCATCAAACCATCTGTGTTTCTGTTCCTGCAACTCTGACACATTTCCTTTACTGCTGGTGTGTGTGTGTGTGGGGGTGTGTGTGTGTGCGTGCATGTGTGTGTGTGTGTGTGTGTGTGTGAGTGACACCACTTCTTGTTTTTGGTGAAGTAATAAGGAAACTTATAGTCAGGGCTTTTGTAAGAGAGCTTATTGTCAACCACTACGTCCACACTCCTAATGGGCCAATCCATTTTGAGAAGAATAGCAGGAAATAGAAAGTGGTTGTGTAAGTTGGTCAAGGCCTGCCACCTTACTGAAAATGTAGTTTCAGAAAACATTGTAACCTTTCTGTGGTTCCATTTATTACTATCCACACCCATCAAGTGGCTCACTAACACAGTGACATAGTTATTCATTACACCTTAAAACTAAATCGTAGGAGAATATGAGGAAACCCAAGTCTCTGACTGATTATAATAACACACACATCAACACACAATGTAATACACTTGACAGCATTTGTACAGGACCCTCTATATATAAATGCACTATATAATTGTTCTTGAATACAGGTCTGATGTACTTCTGTTTTTTTACTTTACTTCCACTCTGCTACTTTTCATGAGGAAATATTGCAACTTTTACTTCATGACACAGTGCACAGTGGAACACTGATTAGCACTGTGTAAAAATGAAGTCCAGGGTTTGATTCCAAAAATAGACAGATGAGGAAATATGGACTTCTTTTCCATTATTCTGCCTGAGGTTTCACCCTTTTTTTTCTTTTTTTTTTTAGGGGGAATATGTTCCTTGACTAAACTATAAAGCCCTCTGAGGCAAATCTTTGGGTGTGAACAGGTATCTGTTGTCTATGTTTGACAGCTCTGTGACAGACTGCTTACCTGGCCAGGTATACTGCAGCTGGGATAGGCTCCAGCTTCCTGTGGCCTGTTGAAGATAAACCAGTATAAAGAGAGAGGGATGACGGAAATAAATATAGATTAATAGACTCCACTCCGTATGTCTGGCAGCCATAGTTCAATCAGGAGAGACAGAAGAGTGAAGTAAATATAGTATTTAATACAGAATATGAGTGTACAGATTAACAGATGATTTGTGCTGATTAAGATTTAACAGAAGTCTTAGGCGCTTGGACACCAGAGGGAGATATTTTGTGATCGAGGGACATCTGAGTGCCAAAAGGATAAATCCCCCCATTGAGTCCAGACACTGGCGGTTGTGGCTGCTGACTCTGAGGCTGCTGACTGCTGAGGCATGTGAGGCTGATGAATCCGTAAAGACTGGTGGTGATGGGGAGGTGGAGGACGTGCACGACGGCAGCAAGAAAGAACTAACAGCAGGGACAGGACCATATTTAAAATACGGAGCAGTAACATGATAGGCTGACAGAGAGGGTGTGTCACTGTGCTATTTGTTGATTGTGTATCAGCTGAAGAATTGACCTACCCAGTAAACTTTTCCTCTGACTCCTCTATGAGTGTCATATTTGTACAGGTGTTGCTTGACAGTAGAACAGTGCACCACCTCTCCAGAGTCTGATAAATCTTCCTGCAGCTTTTTTGCATTCAAACTGGAGTTCTGATTTGCCTTTCTAACAATCCTATGAGCAGGTCTCTCGGAAAGTTTCCTCGGTCTTCCGGACCTCAACTTGACCTCCACAGTTCCTGTTAACTGCGATTTCTCAATTACATTACAACCGGAAGAAACAGCCACCTGAAAACACTTTGCTATGTTCTCATACTCTTCACCTGCTTTGTGGACATCAGTTATTTTAGTTTTCAGAGAGCTAGGCAGCTGTTTAGAGGAGCCCAGACTTCTGATTGTTGGGACAAGGTTTCAGGAGTCAGGGTATGTATAAAGCTTTGAAATTTGCATAACCTGGCCTTTTCCCCAATTATGATTGTGAACAAGCCATAGCCTTTACAAGCTAACTGTGGTCTGAGACCCTGGTAAAAGTTGTCTGAGCTCAAATGTCTTGGGGTACCTTAACTTTTGCATGATGCTCCTTTCCTTTTTTTCACTCTAAAACTGCACAAAACAAAAATAATACAGTAATCTTGCTTAAAATGTTGAAAAGCATGTTTCATCTTTAACTCCATGCCTTTTAGTTTATCTTGTCTTCTGTGGCTATTGAGGAGTGGTCTGCATCTTGGCAGTGTCTCGCTGAGGTGTCATGACATCCACCATCCACTTCACCTCCCAATGACAAAGTCAGGTCATATACTGCATCACTTTAAAAGCACTGATATGATATGTATGAATTGAACAAATGTCATGTATTCATGGTGTGCAGAAACGTACAATGCCAACATTTTTCTCTGGTGAGTGGGCTACACAAATGCTATAAATGTGCATTGCAGAAAAAAAAACTGGAATCCAGTGTTTTTTGAGCTTGGCACATACTAGAGACTAAATGTTAGGATATCTTAGTCTCTTTTCCTTCACTTTTGACCTTTCTTTTTAAAATCTGTCTCTCACAACACCAAAGCAAAATACGTTTGAATACAGAAATCTAGCATTTTTACATGGTGTCATAACGTTACAATTACTTAGACAAAGATCAAAGAATTGTATATATATTCCACCACTGCCAGAATATGACACAGATGAAAGTGCTTTGAATACAGTGTTTTATGTAGAACTATTGCTGAAAGAACTAAGAACGTAGTTGGGTAATAACTGTTTCTGTATGAAGTTGCAAAATCACTAAGCAGCTTTATTGCTTTGAAAGGCCACAGTGACTGAGATACAAGTGTTATTTATTTATGGGCTTTGACTAAATCTGTGGCATCTGCATTTAGTTGTAGCTGCTGTCTACCTGCAGATTTTTGGTCCCACAATAAAAGTCAACACAGGAGTAAACCAAAGCATGAAGCAGAGAATTGTATGATCTGATCTTTGCTGTGTGTTTCAGGTAAGAGAACCCAAAGTCAATGAAACTTTTTACCTCCAGGAGATTGTCTATCACTAGGTTAGAATTTTACTACATACCACCTCCTCACTCACCTGACATTTGTTCATTCATTTATTTATCCCCTGCCTGAAACCAAAAATCAACATCTAACCTCTAGTCTGACTGCAGACTGTTTTGGAGCTGCAGTGGTAGATAAAGCCAACAGGCCGGGTTTCTTCATGGTGTTTCTCCAAGATTTACAGCAGATGAGACAAATGCACACACAGCAGCTGAAGTTAGTTTTGTTGGCTTCAAAGTCCGGCAAATCACAAGGTCTCTTTTTCCTGTTGCTCCCTCTTTTTCTGCTGACCATAGCAGGTGCCCTGGATTGACACACACACACACACACACACACACACACACACACACAGAGTTCTTCTCCTTCTCCCCTTCACACATGCAGAAATTTAGTCACCATACTTGGAACCTGAAGAGAGAAATGGCCAGTGACAGGATCCATGCTGCTTTACCTGACCCTCCCATTCAAAATGAAGAGGAGAACAAAGAAGACAAGGCTTTTGGGAATATCTTTGCTGAGTTAGAGTCTGTGGACTTGCCTCTAGGAACAACCTTAAGGTAAATTTGCAATATTAAGGACATTTTTAAGAAAAAAAAATTTCCTGGCTACCATTGATGGTGGATTTTTTAACCTGACTTACAAATGGAGTGATTTAAAATGTTTATCGATCTTTATATATGAACATCAAGAGGTGCAAACAATCAAGGAAACATGCATATATTTTATAATTAATTAAAAATACCAAAGGGATGGAACTTTTAGTGTAATGTGCTCTTAAAACACTTTAGCTTTAGAAATTAGCTTTATGGGTGGAAGTTTTGCCACTGGTATACCTTGTAAATCAAAATTTTGATTTACAGGAGCAATAAAACTGATCCTGAGTGACTGGGGGAAATGTATGACCCTCTCTCCACCATAGATAACCAAACCAAATGTGTATTGGAGCCAATGCAACAATCAAACAGCACAAAGGGAATTAGCACCAAAACGACTAGACAGGCAGTTTTTGTTTTTTTTTAAAGCAAAATGCAAATCCAGGCTGTTTGTGCACTTCAGTACAGTCCACATTAGCAACATGTGCATAAAAAATACATTGTAATACACAAATACATTTTAACATACTCAACAGTGGCGGCAATGGCCAGAATATCAATAACTTGGCACGGCGGCTGCGATAGATAGATAGATAGATAGATAGATAGATACTTCATTGATCCCGTGGGAAATTAATAACTTACCATTTGATGATAAAGTTAAAAAGGTGCAAATGTTCTTTTTTTTGTCACATTGAATAAAGTAATTTTGTGAAAATGCACATGATATGTTTAAGGACCATGGGGAATTTAAAAAAAAATAGATGATAACTTCCGTTGTCACAGTCTCTGGCTAAGATAAATGGTGTAATTTTAGCAACACAAAATTCGACCATTTAAATTTAAAGTCCCTCCCTTGAGCCAAATAAAACCTCCCTAGTGCTTATAAGATTATTTGACGTGCCTCCGCCGTTTTGCATCACCCCTCCCGTCTTATAAGTAATGAACAGTCCCTAATTCTTTTGTTGTTATAGGACACATTATAACCAATTAAATTGTAATGTTAGTTGCTAAGTTATGATAGTTCAACATTTAGACAACAGCCAACAACCTTTATGTATTGGCCACAGTGTTTTTGAGTAAACGTTAAGGGATCAGCAATTGTGTTCCTGTCTGGTTCCTGTGGCCAACTGTACTGTAATGTACAGGAAATGTCACAACAAAGCTGCTGACGTTGAGATGATTCCAACTGTAGTGCGTCCCCCACAGGCCAGACCTCATACTGACCTGTACGCTGCTGTAGCTGCAGTCATAGCCATAATACACACATAACAATCATGGCGGAGAATGAAACCCTGGAGTGTATAACGGAGCACGAGCGGATTTTACAGGAAATTGAGAGTACAGACACGGCCTGTGTTGGTCCCACCCTTCGGTAAGATTACACGACTTAGTGCACAGTCCTTACCAACCATAATGTCCATGTGTGTTGTTGCATTTCCTGCGTTATCAGACCTTTTGTTCATGAGCTAGCTTAGCTACCCTAGCCACCGGCAGGCTAACATTAGCTATTTTACCCAGCAGGCTATATGGTGTTGAAATGAACCGTGAGCCTAGCTGCCTTGTTAGCTAACAGGCCAACAGTGACCACTGTTTATGTCAGGTGAACGCAACTGTTGTAAAACCGCGTCAGTGTGTGATTTTCCTGGTTGTGTGTATTTATCTACGGCTGGTGACTTGTCAAAATGTAAACATCAGTTGTGGGTGTGGCTGAGGGACTCCACATCTTGTTATCATTATGCAGCTGATGATAGCTAACGGTGCTAACAATTCAGGCTAGTTGTATTGCAGAAATTAGAACATTAACCCAACTGGCATTCCGATATATCATGGCTGGATGAGTCATCTTGAAAAGCTGGTGCTGTGGTTGATAGAGAGCTTGGTAGCGGTGAAATGGGATATGGGATGTGGGATTGCTCACGGTAACGTTCTCTGGCATTGGTTATGCTACCAAGCTAGCTTCCAAGGCCATAATGAATGACAGGAGTTTGTCAAGCTAGTGTTTATAAAGTGACTGCGGCCTCAGCTGAATGCCTCCACCTCTCACACACACACCTGTCCCAGAAACATGCCTGTGGGCTGTGGTTGTCTTAAAGAATATTTGGGAAACCAGTAAAAATATGCCCTAAGGCTAACATGACAACACCTCAGCGCGCTCAAGTGACTGTTCCATGATCTTCTTAACATTGCCATTATTTTAGCAGCTGACCTAGACAGTCTAGATTAGTTGTTGAAAAATTAAAGTCATGCCCTTTGCATGTCTGATTGTTTGTTTAGATTTTGAGTATAGAAAGACACTTGTCAATGTTTTAGTTCCATCTTTTGTCTGTTTTGTTATTTTTCAAGCCCTTTTTTCTATACTGAACAAAAATTTAAATGCAGCACTTTTAGTTTTGCTCCCATTTTTCACAGGTTTAAGTTAAAGATTTTGAACTTTTTTTTCATGCACTCAATTGATATATTTCTCTCAAATTTTGGCCACAACTATGGTAAAATCCATGTTTGTGAGCACTTCTCATTTTCCAAGATAATCCATCCACCTGACAAGTGTGGCATATCAAGATTACTCAGTGTCATTACTACACAGGTGTGCCTTGGGATGGTCACAATAAAAGGCCACACAGAAATGCGGAATTTGATCACACAACACAATGGCACAGTTTTAAGGGAGCGTGCCATTGGCATGCTGACTGCAGGAATGTCTACCAGAGCTGTTGCCTGTGAATTGAATTTTAATTTCACTACCATAAGATGTCTCCAAAGTTGTTTCCGTTAATTTGGCAGTACATCTAACCGTCCTTACAGCTGCAGACCATGTGTAACCACACCAGCTCAGGACCTCCACATTCAGAATCTTCACCTGTAAGACTGTCTGAGAGCAGCCACCCAAAGAATTGATGCAACTGTAAGTTTGCACAACTGAGGAAAATATGCACAAACTTTTAGAAACTGTCTCAGGGAAGCTCATCTGCATGCCTGTCATCCTCAACAGTGTCTTGACCTGACACCAGTTTGTCATTGTAACTGACTTGTGCAGTTGTGAGGCCAGTTGGATGCACTGCCAAATTCAGGGAAACAGCATTGGAGAAATTTAATGGTTGTGAAATAAACAATGAGTTCACAGGCAACAGGCTTTAGTGGACATCCCTGCAGTCAGCATGCCAATGGCATGCTCCCTCAAAACTAAGTGAAAACTGTGGCATTGTGTTGTGTGATTAAACTGCATGTTATAGAGTGTCCTTTTATTATGTTTTTCTTCAACACACCTGTTATTTTAAAAAATATATTATCCATGACCTCTGCTCAGCTTTAGTGTAGTACAGAGCACCTGCAGGGTAGTAGCCTGGCACACCTCCTGTAACAGCCCACATGTGTCAGTCTCATGTTTTGCCTGAAAGACTGACAGTTCAGGGTTTCCCACATGCTCATTTATTTGTTGTGGCCTACCACGACTAAAACATCTGCTGCCATGTTTTCATTTTATATTTTTTAAGCTGCACTGTTCATTAGGATCGCTGATGGACTCTATATACTGTTTGGTTATTCATTGTGCTACATTTTCTCAGTACAGAACATACTGTGGGCACAGACGGAGCCACAGAATGCCAGGTGCAAGTGAAACTAAAGAAAAAGTTTAATAACTTAGTCTAAAGAGACTAAGTTATGAAATCTTAACTCACCACAGAGCATCTTTCCTGATTAGCTGCTGACAGCACTTGCAGCTGATACAGTCAGTCACACTCAGAGGCAAAAGTAGTTTAGCTGGCTTCAATTACATTCAGTACCAGAAGCATTGGAATGGCGAAAAACAGAAACGAGTGGCGCTCCTCTGCTCTCCGTTTCCATCACCCCTCTCTATTTTATGTTTTCTTCTTTAAAGCAATGCATAGAGTGTAGAGCACAATATTCGAGTCATTCCTAGACCACAGATAATGTGGAAAGAACTGCAGCAACAACTAGACTAGACTAGTTGAGTTTGAATTGTGAGAATGTCACATCCCTCTTATCTGTGTGAGATACTGACATCCCACCTATGACAACATTGCAGACTGTTCTAAGATTTTGCTAACTATTAGTTGTAAAAACACTTGAAAGTCTCCTGAATCTGTACTCACATTTACTGGCAGTCTGAAAATCACAGGCTGTTTGTCACTCTTTTATTTTTAAATTGTGTGTGCATCAACTGAAAACACACTGGGAGGTAGAATGATTAAGCATAGTGTATCCTGTAACCCAGAAGCAACTTTAAGCTGGCTAAAGTTAGTTTCCTGCCCTGGCGGGAAGTAGGAAAGCAGTGACCTATTTGTTTCAACAACCACCTGCTTTCAATTATTAATAACAGGAAAGAGGAACTCATATGGCAGCATGGAGGCTGATGATTACTGGGGTATGAGCGTGCATGTTTCCAGTTGGCTGTGCTGTTCATTACATCAGGCCTAGTTCTTAGCTTCAGTTCCTTGAGGAGTTCCATGGTTATCAGTCAGTCATTTATTAAAGAGACCAAAATAAGCCAGTGCCAGCTTTCCATTGTTGGGATTTGCTGCTTTGTTCCATGTCATATTCTTGAGTACCATGTTTTTTTTTTGGACTGTAAATTGAAGCTATTTATGTAATTGTTTTTTACAAAACACATTTTAAAGAAATGAAAGAAAAAAAACAGGGCTGCCACTGTAAAGTCAAAGATTTAAATCATCATTTGGGGCAGCTGTGACTCAGAGGTAGAGCAGGTCGTCCACCAATCGGAAGATCAGTGGTTTGATCCCCGGCTCCTCTAGTCTGCATGTCGAAGTATCCTTGAGCAAGATACTGTACCCCAGGCTGCTCCCAGTGGCTGTGTGTCAAAAAACAACAACTGAGTAGCAGGTGGCATCTTGTATGGTAGTCTTGGCCGTCACTGTATGAATGGGTGAATGTGACTGGCAGGATAAAAAGCGCTTAGAGCATTCGGAAGACTAGAAAGGCGC